CAAAAAAATACTACTTTATAACTAAGATATAAGTATAAAATTGTTTTGAATTTCAAAAAATCGAAAAAATTATAATCGATACCAATTGCTATGAAGCTTAATTCAGCAGTATTTGTGGGCTCTCTGATTTAACTTTAAGAGTTATTTAGAGCAATGTAAAGACAAAAGTTAAACAAGGTATCTATTTTGGTTTTAAATAATTTCTGGCTTTGCTTTGTCCAAATTTTTCCTGGTTTATTCGACGGGTTTTTGTTTTTATTAATGCATTTAACAGGGTGTCTACCAACTATGAAAGACGGAAAATATCAGGGAATTTAATGTAACCGAGAAAAACTGGATGTACTTGCTATACAATTAGTTCGAATTAGACTCTACAATAAACAGTAATATTTTCCTAATGAAATAGTTAATGGTAACTAATTATTATTTTTTCCGCGGGAAAAAATAATAATCAAATTTCCCGGCTATTTCCCGGTTTTCTAGGTTGGTAGACACACTCTTAAATGCATTATTAGAAACTAAAACCCGTCGAAGACGGGTACGAAAGCTAGTAAACTAAATAAAATAAAAATTCTTCTTCCATATTTTGAATTTTCTATTGGTGCTTAATTTTATTTTTAATTAAAGTAATTTAATTAATACCTTGTTTCTAGAATTTTTTTCTAATATTCTGTAACCATTGATCTTCATTACAAAGTCTTTTTCGACCATTCTCAAATGTCATTGTTTAATAAAACTTTGAAAAAATGTTATTAAAATTACACTGAGAAACAATAGAAAAAAAATTTAATATATTAAAATAATAATTTTAATTTAAGTTTTAAGTTTAATGTTAACTTATACCGTAACAATAAGTTCGACTATTGAAACAAATTAATAATTTATTATACAATTTTTTTTAAATTACTTCATTAGACAATGACTTCCTTAACATGCACAGTGTGCTTAGATGTTGTAACATCGGCTGATTCATATTCATCACTTTGCGGACATGTTTTTCACATGCACTGCATTTTATATTCATTGAGAAGGTATTTATAAAATTTTTAATAACTTTTTATTTTTTATTATAATATTATACAATATACACTACCGTTCAAAATTAAGAGACCACCCATTTTCACATGATTGAAAAACATTTTAAAACAAAATTTTTTTTGGAAAATGAAATTTTTTTCTTTTTATTTTTTGAAAGATGTTAAAGTTTTGAAAAGAAAAAGATCTTTTAGAAGTCATTTGGCCAATATTTAATTTAGATATTTTTAAAAAATCGGCAATTTCAATGTTTTGCAAAAATTTAAATAACTTCTAAAATAATGAACTGTTTATAATGATCTTAGGCTTATTTTAAAGTTAAATTGTTATACTATAATAATTACTTATAGGCATTAACGTATAATTTTTTCTAACAAATGCTGGCCGTCAAACTTGTACCAAAAAAATTCAAAAAATTTGGAACAATTTTTTTGTACTAAAAACTATTCTAGAAAATATATAAAACATCATATGGTGTACATTTTTCAAAAAATTTAATAAAAAAATACGTTTAAATTTTAAAACTTATTTTATTGTTAATAAGAATGTTCCAAATTTAAAAAAAAAATTTGTCCAAGTTTGACGGCCTGCTTTCTCTAAGAAAAAAAAATACACGTTGATACCTATAAGAAATTCTTGTAGTGTAACAAATAAAAACTTATCAAGTAACATATAAAGATTTATTAACAATTTATTAGATTGAAGTTACTTTTAATTCTTTGAAAATATTTTAATTTTTAGAGTTATTTTGGGATTTTTTAGTTTTTTTTACCATTTAAGATCCTATAACTCCGAAATTTGACTTTTTATGAAAAAATGTTGTAGAGAAAAGTTGTTTGTATTTTCCTAAGCTATCGTAATATGCAAATAAAAATTTGAAAATTTGAAAAAATTGATTTTTCAAAATTTTGAAAGTACTGTCGTTTTTGTATTTTTTAACGAAAATGGTTAACGAACTTGGCCTTCATTTTTTCACCAACTTTAAGTGTGTTAAATTTAAATACGATCGGATAAGTTTTTCAAGAGTTATCGTGGGAACAAAATTTTTGATCTACAGACAGACAGACACCATCGCCGGACCATGTTTTTTGGGTTCAGGGGACCCTAAAACGTCGAGATTTCATGAAATTAGTGAAAGTCAATTTTCAACCAAAACTAATACTTTCTCATGTGATGAGAATGTAATAAAAATTACTTTTTTTGAAAATAACTCGAAAAGTATAGGGTTTGGCGAAATGGTGTCTACAGCAAAGTTGTAGCAGAGGATGAGACTTATAAAATTAATTTATTACCTGTAAACAAAAAATTAGATAGACTAATATTTCACTACTCCTCCCTTTAATTTTTGTAAAATGTTTTTTGACGCAATGTTATTATATTGAATGATGTATTTGACAAAATAATTATTTCATTGACATGAATAAAACCTCAAAATATGCACAAATTAATTAAATTTCTGAAAGTTTAAAAAACTGTTAAATAATGTAATGAAAAAAATGTAAAAAGATCTTACCTTGATCTAGCTGCTTTTGATTTGGAGAGTCTCCTGCCGCTGGTACGATAACTCCCATTTTTCCTTTTGTAGCACTTGTTTAAAATTTCTTTCTTCTCTTCTTGGTTGTCCTTTTTGTTATTGCTGTTGTACTCTTTCTCCTGGTGTCCACTACCCTTTTCGTTGTTCTTCTCCATTGTCTTTTACACTTAAATCACTAAATCACTTAAAAAATCTCCTGTCCACTTGCACTTTCACAAAAAAAAGTATTTTTTACACAAGTTTGTGTTTGTGTAATAATAGTTTTAAAAAAATTTACTTTTAACTACAATGGAATTTTTTCTTAAAAATTCTAATATTATCTCCTGTCCTCTTGAATTGTCACACTTCACTAAAAATAGTTTTTAAGAAACAAATTCACATAAGCGTTTAATAAAATGTCATAAAATTTTAAAAAAAGAATAGTTCAAAATTCTAGAAAATAGTAATTAAATTGAAATTATAAAAATAATTTGGAAAAAGTTACAGTAACAATATTAAAATAAAGATTTTATCTCTCGATCGTATTTAATTCTTATAATCCAAGTCGAAGACTCGTAGATATAGATTTCTTCATGTTTTACAATAATATAGTTCATTTTTCAATTTTTTCAATTATACTTATTTGCCATAATTTTCATTCATGCGAATATTTAAATGATATGATACGTACTCATGTGACATAACCTTAAAATCTTTAAAATGTCATAATTAAGAAATTTTCATTTATCGAAATTTTGTTTGGCATAATTTTTATTTTCACCAATTATCAAATTACATAAAACGCATTTTAATTTTCATAAAATAAATAAAAAAAATTGAATTGTTTATAGATACTTTAGTAAAATTTTTCGCAATAATTTAATTATTCTTACAAATAATACAATTTTTTACATAAATTTAATTACTTGAAAAAATTTTACAAAATAACGTTGTAATCTTCCAAGAATTCAATTATTTTTATAAATAGTAAAATTTTTCACAGGATTTTAATAATTCTTTTACAAATAATAAAATTTGAATTATTTAAAAAAAATTAATTTTAATAAAATGAATCAATACCTGTAATTAAATTATTATTTGGAATCTTTATAAGATAATCCTAAAAAATTTGATTATTTAAACCATTTTTAAAAAATTATTTCCGACAATTAAATTATTTTTACAAATGAGTAAAAATTCCTGAAGTGGCCCCCCTATTTTTACAATGTTGCGAAATTTAAAATAAGTATTTGTATTTTAAATTACTAGTATCTTGTAAAATTTTCACAGAGTATTTTAAAAATATTTAAATTATTTATATTATTTATTATTATTTAAAGATTTTTGAACCCTTTTATTAAAATAATTTTAACTAATTGCTTTTTGCATAAATTGAACAAAAATTTGTTGTTATATCAGTGAGTTAATCGTAATACAATAATAATAATATAATTTTTTTAAATTTTAATTGTTATAAACAATATTAGTTAACATTTTCGTAACATTGGTTCTTCCCCATTAAAAAAATTGTTTTTCCACATTTTCTTAACAATTTATGTTTATTTGAAGAATATATGTCCTTTTTGCTTAAAACATTATTTATTTAAATTGTCATAAACAATATTAATTAACAAATAGTTAACATTGATTCCTCTCCAATAAAAATTGTTTTTTACACATTTTAATTTTAATTTAGGTCCACTTAAAGAATATATGTAAAAAAAGGTGAATTAATTGTTTATAACAATTTAGATAAGTCTGGTTTTAAACAAAAAGGATATATTTTTCAAATAAACCTAAATTATAAAAAAAATGTGAAAATTTTTTTTTAGTGTTATTGTTAATTAATATTGTTCATAAAATATTTAATAAATTATTTCATGATTTTAATTTTCTGGTGCTCATGTTGGATTAATTTGAACTAATTTAGATCACATGCAGCAACGGAATAAGAAAATTATCGTCCTTTTTTAAAAAATTGTATTAATTTGTTAACTTTAATTAAAAAAAATTATAAACAGTTATAAAATCAACATTAGGAGATGTCTTAAGAATTTATTCCCCTTTAATTGAAAAACAAAAAACAGTCAAATAATTATTAAAAGTCAAATTATAGAAAACCTTTTCATTTGCCTTGAAATGTATTTTCCTTGTTTACCTACATTCTAAGGAACATTTACAAAAAAAAAATTTTTTATTCACGTGTCGAAAGCACTAAAATTTGCATTTGTTTATAAAAAAAAATTATTAGAAAATAAAAAAAATTAATTTTTAAAATTTTTTATTTCATTATTCGAAAGTACATTTACTCACTGATATAACAAGAAATTTTTGTTCAATTTATGCAAAAAAAAGCAATTAGTTAAAATTATTTTAATTAAAGGGTTCAAAAATTTATAAGTAACAATAAATAATATAAATAATTTAAATATTTAAAAAATACTCCGTGAAAATGTTACCAGATACTAGTACTTTAAAATACAAATACTTATTTTAAATTTTGCAAATTTGTAAAAATAGGGGGGCCTCCTCAGGAATTTTTACTGAAATAACAAATTTTTTTCAAAAATGTGAATTATTCAGAAAAATTTAATAAAATTTTTAACAAAAATTTCATTATTTTTAAAAAGAATAAATTTTTTTTTACAGAAATCCAATTACTTAAAAAAACATAATAAAATGACTTATAAAATTTAAATTATTTTTAGTGCAATTTTAAATGAATTCCTCAAAAAATGAAATTATTTTAAATAATTTCCAAAGTATTTTAGTAAAAAAAATCAATATTCTATTAATTATTTATTTTTAATAAAACAAATAAAATAACATCCCGTTATCAGGGTGTCTACTGGTCCTTCAAGTCCTAAAATTCCCGGAAATGTCCTGGAATTTGGAAAAATGTTCTTAAATGTCCTGGATTTTGTACTTTTGTCTTTGAGTCTTTGATTTTTTCAAATCTTTTTATAACATAAAATAAATATTTTTGTTCAAGTAGGTTAATATTTAAATTATGTTAATCGTAATATGAAATAATATTACACAGGGTTGTCACAAATTCAATAACTTATTAAAATATTATATAATAAAACATGAAGAAATCGATCACTCCGAGTCTTCGATTCGAAGTGATCGATTTTCTCATGTTTTACAATAAATTTAAAATGAAAAAGTAATAAAATCATTATTTTATTTCATAAGATTATTGTAACTGTAAATTCAAATTTTCAAAGATTTCAATTTTAACCCTTTTCAAAATTCAATTATTTCTAAAAATTCACGCTATAATGTTTTTAATATTCAATTATAATTTAAATTTATAAGTGAAATTCATTTTTTAATCAATTTTTATTAGAAAATTTCTCGAGAATTTTTCTCGAGAATTAATAAATTAATAAATAATTTATTCAGTAATTGTATATTTTTAAGGGCATTTAAACCATTATGACGTCATAGTTTGTTCAAAGCATTTGTTGCAAATATGTGACGTCATAATGGTTCAAATTCCCTTAACTTTAATTTTTTTTGAAGAATTTTATCAAAATTTTTAATAATAATTTAATTTCTTCGGCGACTTTTAAAAAAATTTTAAGAATAAATGCAATTTTCTATCATATTATTTAAAATTTTATAAAAATAATTGAAATTCTGCGAAAAGTTTTATTATTTATGAAAATAATTGAATTCTTGCAACGAAATTCATTAAAAATCTTTTTAAAGAACTGAATTCCTGTGAAGAATCTTTATTTGTAAAAATAATTGAATTCCCGAGAAAAATATTATTATTTATGAAAATAATTAATTTCTTGTGAAGAATTTTATTCAAAGTTTTCTAAATAATTGAATTTTTCAGAATTTTCAAAAATAATTAAATTCCATATGGAAATTTTATTAAAAAATTGAAAATAATTGAAATCTGACAAAGAATAAAAAAATTTTTTTTTAAAATAATTTAATTCCTGTGAAAATGTTTATTTATGAGAAAAATTGATTTCTTGGGAAGAATTTTATTTTTTACGAAAATAATTGAATTTCTCAAATTATTTTTTTGAATTTTCTTTATATATTTTAATTCTTTCGAGAAACTTCATTAAAAAATTTAAAACAATCGAATTAATGCGAAGTTATTTAAAAAGAAATTTTTTCCAGTACTTTTAGTAAAAATCCCTGACTTTTCCCTGATCAATTCTAATTTCCCTGATTGTTCCCTGAATTCCTTGATTTGTGACAATCCTGTTACACATATAAATGTCCTGGAAAAATAAGAAATCTGTCATGAAAATGTCCTGGAATTTGAAGTCTTATTTCCAGTAGACACCCTAGTTATGTTATTAAATAAATAAAACAAATATTATAAATAAAATATATTAAATACTTAAAATAAATAAAAATATGACAAAAAATAATTTTTATTTCAGATGAATAGTAACAATAATATCCCACCACCTCAGCAGGTACAGCCGCCAATACAACAACAACCGCTGCAGCCAACAATGCAACAACCGCCGATACAACAGCAGTTGTCGCAGCCAACAATGCAACAACCGCCGATGCAACAGCAGTTGTCGCAGTAAACAATGCAACAACCGCCGATACAACAGCAGCCGTCGCAGCCAACAATGCAACAGCCACCGCCGGCGGCGCGCAACAGCAGCTGCCAATCCAGCTAGTAACGTCGCCCATACAACAGCAGCAGCCATTAATGCAGCAGCTACCATTGCAACATCAACAGCCACAGATGCAACAGCAACTGACTTCGATGCAACAACAACAGCCATTCATGCAACCGCCGCCAATAACACAGCAACCACCGCCGACGCAGCAGGTTCCCCAAATGATGCATCAGCCGCCGATGTATCAAAATGTTCAATCGCAACAGGTATTGCAATGGCAACAGCAGCCAACCAAGCAACAAAAACCCGGGGTACAACTGCCATTTAGAAAACAATTCTCTCAACGTCCACCGTCACAAAACCTCCAGCAGGAGCAATTTATCAATAACCATGAAGCTTCTTACGATTCTTCCATTGCGGAGATCTCAAGTCAAGAAAACAATGTAAGTCCAGACTTCCTACTCATCTACTAAAACCTAATATTTACTACTTTTTAACGTTTTTATACTATTTCAGGGTTACCACAGGTCAGGGAAAAGTCAGGGATTTTTATTAAAGTAACTGGAAAAATTGAATTTTTGAGAAGTTACAAATAATTGCAGAAATTCAATTATTTTCAAAAGTAATAAAATTCTTTGTAGAAATTCAATTATTTTCAAAATTTTTAAAAAATTCTCGTTAAAATTTCAATTATCTTAAAAAATAATAAAATGCTTCTTCGAATTCCAATTATTTTCAAAAATTTCAATAAAATTCTTTGCGAAATTTAAATTATTTTCAAAAAGTTTTCCTCAATCCAATGATTTTCAATATCTATTATTTTAATAAAATTTTTCAAAAGAATTTAATTATTTTCAAAAAAAATGTTGACAAAATTCACAGCAAACATTAAATTATTTTCATAAATAATAAAAATTCCACAGGAATTCAACTGTTACAAATTTTTTCGCTTAGTACAACAAAATTCGAACCGAACCGAGTTTTGTTCGGTTTTGGAACGCTAAAATGTCGAATTCTTAAATTCGACATTCCAGTCGCCTAGTTCGAATGTCGAATTTTCGACATTCGACATTTCGGCGCCCCAAAACCGAACAAAACTTGGTTCGGTTCGAATTTTGCACAGCTCTAATAATAATTGAATATTAAAAGCATTATAGCATGAATTTTTGAAAATAATTGATAATTCTTTCGAAGAATTTTAATAAAATTTCTGAAAATTACATTTTTCAAAGAATTTACTTAAAATTTTAATGTAGGAAATTATTTGCTGATTGAGAATTTTAATTAAGGAAGATTTCGACTATATCAGCAATTAGTGACATCTATTAGACGTCAATTGAACTCTTTGGTTTAGAGTCAGGTGTTATTCTTAAGATAATTATTCCGATATGGTTGTCGGTAAATAATTATATTTTTGAATTTAATTTTTGATCTGAAAAAATAAGCTGCGTGAACGACTGCACTGTGCATCTGTGAGGACTCGAACCCCAGTTAATAGCTGCCTTTCGCGGGACTAACGCCTACCAATGCACCATGCCAACACAGCCTGGACGTTCACGTTTCTTATAATCTCAGATCAAGCCCATACACTAGTCGAAGAGCTGTATAGTTAATGTAGGAAATTATTTGCTGATTGAGAATTTTAATTAAGGAAGATTTCGACTATATCAGCAATTAGTGACATCTATTAGACGTCAATTGAACTCTTTGGTTTAGAGTCAGGTGTTATTCTTAAGATAATTATTCCGATATGGTTGTCGGTAAATAATTATATTTTTGAATTTAATTTTTGATCTGAAAAAATAAACCAAAGAGTTCAATTGACGTCTAATAGATGTCACTAATTGCTGATATAGTCGAAATCTTCCTTAATTAAAATTCTCAATCAGCAAATAATTTCCTACATTAACTATACAGCTCTTCGACTAGTGTATGGGCTTGATCTGAGATTATAAGAAACGTGAACGTCCAGGCTGTGTTGGCATGGTGCATTGGTAGGCGTTAGTCCCGCGAAAGGCAGCTATTAACTGGGGTTCGAGTCCTCACAGATGCACAGTGCAGTCGTTCACGCAGCTTATTTTTTCAGATCAAAAATTAAATTCAAAAATATAATTATTTACCGACAACCATATCGGAATAATTATCTTAAGAATAACACCTGACTCTAAACCAAAGAGTTCAATTGACGTCTAATAGATGTCACTAATTGCTGATATAGTCGAAATCTTCCTTAATTAAAATTCTCAATCAGCAAATAATTTCCTACATTAACTATACAGCTCTTCGACTAGTGTATGGGCTTGATCTGAGATTATAAGAAACGTGAACGTCCAGGCTGTGTTGGCATGGTGCATTGGTAGGCGTTAGTCCCGCGAAAGGCAGCTATTAACTGGGGTTCGAGTCCTCACAGATGCACAGTGCAGTCGTTCACGCAGCTTATTTTTTCAGATCAAAAATTAAATTCAAAAATATAATTATTTACCGACAACCATATCGGAATAATTATCTTAAGAATAACACCTGACTCTAAACCAAAGAGTTCAATTGACGTCTAATAGATGTCACTAATTGCTGATATAGTCGAAATCTTCCTTAATTAAAATTCTCAATCAGCAAATAATTTCCTACATTAACTATACAGCTCTTCGACTAGTGTATGGGCTTGATCTGAGATTATAAGAAACGTGAACGTCCAGGCTGTGTTGGCATGGTGCATTGGTAGGCGTTAGTCCCGCGAAAGGCAGCTATTAACTGGGGTTCGAGTCCTCACAGATGCACAGTGCAGTCGTTCACGCAGCTTATTTTTTCAGATCAAAAATTAAATTCAAAAATATAATTATTTACCGACAACCATATCGGAATAATTATCTTAAGAATAACACCTGACTCTAAACCAAAGAGTTCAATTGACGTCTAATAGATGTCACTAATTGCTGATATAGTCGAAATCTTCCTTAATTAAAATACTTAAAATTTTATTAAAAATAATTGAAATCTTGTGAAGAATTTTATTTCATTTGTGAAAGTAATTGAATTCTTGCTATGAATTCTATTCCTTTTTTTAATTAATTGAATTGTTTTGAAAACTTTTATTAAAATAGTAGATTTTAAAAAAATTTTAAATCCTATGAAAAATTTTATTAATTTATAAAAATAATTACATTTTTTAAAGAATTTACCTAAAATTTTATTAAAAATAATCGAAATGATATAAAGTAACTTATTATTTATGAAAATAATTGAATTCCTGCAACGAATTTTATTACATGTTTTTTAATTAATTGAATTATTTTAAGAAGTTTTATTTAAATAGTAGATTTTTAAAATATTTGAATTTCAACGAAGAGTTTTATTATATTCGTAAAATGTTATTAAATTAAATTCTTGCAAAAAATTTAAGAAAATAATTCCATTTTTCCAGGAATTTACTTTAAATTGTATTATCAATAATTGAAATCCTCAGAAAAATTTTATAATTTATGAAAATAATGAAATTCTTACAACATACGAGTTTTTTAAAATAATTTTTTTTTTGAAAAATGTTATGGAAATTTAAATTTTTATAAAACATGAAGATACCAATTACTCCGAGTCGAAGTCTTAAAGTGATTGATATCTTCATGTTTTATAAATATATTCTTATAAGTTGTTGAATTTTAAAAATGTTTAAATTTGAATGTTTCGAAGAATTCTAATTTATATGGAAAAATAATATTTGAATACTTATTTAAAAATATAGTTATTGATGTTTGCGAATAATTTTACAATTTAAGAAATTCCAAAGTAAATGTAATAGAATGTTTTTTTGAGTATCTAATAATTTCTAGAGTGAATAAGAATATTCTTTAGGGTCAGGGAGAAAGTCAAAATTTTTTCTGGAAATCAGGGGAAAGTCAGGGAAAAAGAAAATCAATTTTTTGTGGTAACCCTGTATTTGGATACAGTACTGGCCAAAGTTGTGAGTCCATCCATTTTGAAGGGAATGAAAAAAATTTTTCAACATAAAATTTTATGAAAACTAAATTTTTTTCCGTATGTTTTAAAAGATGATAAAATTGTGAAAAGAATAAGACTTTACAGAAGTCATTTGGCCAGTATTTTATTTAGGAATTTTTAAATAATCGTCATTTTCAATGTTTTACAAAAATTTGAATAACTTTTAAAATAATGAACTCTTTTTAATAAACTTAAGCTTATTTTAAAGGTCATTTTCTACAGAATAAGAATTACTTATAAGCATTAACCTGTAATTTTTTTTTAAATAAGTAGGACGTCAAAGTTAGACAAAAAAATTCGAAATAATTTTTTTGTACTAAAAACTATTCTAGAAAATACATAAAACATGATAGGGTGTAGATTTTCCAAAAAAATTTAATAAAAAAATATGTTTGAATTTTAAAAATTCAATTTTTTTGAATTTTTTTGTCTAACTTTGACGTCCTGCTTATTCTAAGAAAAAAATTACAGGTTAATGCCTATAAGTAATTCTTATTTTGTAGAAAATGGACTGTTTAAGATTAATAAAAAGCGTCCATTTTCAAAAATTTTTCGCTATTGATTAATTTTAAAAATGTAATATTCTCATTAAATTTATCAAAAGATTTAAAAATTAAAAAAAAATTTTGATACATATCTACGAATCATTTTTCCTCGAAACATTCAATTATTCTTAAAAATTTTATTGATACTTGACGAAAGAATTCAATTTAAAGAAACTATTAATTATTCAATAAAATGATAAAATTCACTACAATATTTCAAATATTTTAATAAATAACATTTTTTTAGTTGCAGAAAATAAATTACTTTCAAAAATATGTAAGTAATTATATAAAAGAATTCATTTTTTTTTATTTACAGATGATGCAACAAAAAGGCGTTGAAAGCCAGCCAATTCACAAGCCTCCACCAGCAAAGGATAACACTCCTGACGCACCCAAAGTAAGCCCTTTTGGTCGTTCAATTTATATAACTTTTTGTAAAATCAAACTTCTCTCAAATTAGTTAAATTTTTGAATGTTTATTTAATTATTTATTAAAAATAATGTATTTATAGAAGAGTTTTTAGTTAAGCATACTAAAAACCAATTAAATTTACAAGGAGATGCAAATAATTTCAAAAATTCAATTATTTTCAAAAGTAATAAAATTCTTTGTAGAAATTCAATTATTTTCAAAAATTTTAATAAAATTCTTTGCGAAATTTCAATTATTTTCAAAAAATTTTCCTCAATTAAATGATTTACAATTTTTTTTATAAAATTTTCTGTAAGCATTTAATTATTTTCATAAATAATAATAATTTCTCAGGAATTAAATTATTTACAAATTTTTTATAAATTTTTTCGCAATAATTAAATTATTTTCACAAATAATACATTGTTTACAGGTATTAAATAATTTTTATCAATAATACAATTTTCTTAGGAAATCAATTATTTGCATAGATAAAGAATTTAAATAAATAACAAAAATTTATTCATTGAAAATTCGTTATCAGAAATCAATTTTAAGAAACATTTAATTATTCAAGAAATTATTTATTTTTGTGTAATTGATTCCTTTTAAAATTTCTTAATAAAAATTGATTTTAAATCAACATTCATTTATCATTTTAAATAATAATTAAATATTAAAACCAATATTCTGTAAATTTTTAAAAATAATTGAAATTTGAAACTTTACCTATTTTTTACAGTTACCATAGTAACAACTTATAATGTTTAAGTAATTTGTAATAATTAATTTTAAAAATATTAAATATTTTGTACATTATTGCCCTTACTTTAGAATTGGGTAGTGGAAATGAGGAAATGGAAGCAGGAGATGGATAAAGAGCGTTGGAGGCAGGACCAGAGACTGACAGCTCTAGAACGGTTTGTAAGCAAATACCGATTGGAGGAAAGGGGAAGGGAAAGAAAAAGAAGAGAAAGAAATTAGGAGAGGGAAGAATGGATGGCAGAAAGGAGAGAGAGAGAGATAGTGGCGACAGGAATAAGCGACAATGGCGGCGTTTCTAACTTCTTTTTTGTTTGTGAGACAGTACAAAAAATTTTATGACAAAAAAAAATTTTTTATCTCGTTTGTGTTACAGACTGTCTTTAAATTTTTATTTAACTTGTTTTTTTTTCTTATTATAATTATTACAATTATTTTCTAAAAGGTCATGTTATTCAGTGGTCACGTCTTTCTTATACGGAATTTCTTCCTAAACTGCCCCAAGCCAGAAAACATTGTTTTAAATTATATAATATTTGGAATTTCTCATCACTTGGGACAATTCAGGAATTTCATTCATAATTTTTAAGTTTAAAAAATGACATTATTTCATTTGTCTGTTATTGAACTTTTCATATTAATTATATAAAATTCAAAAATTTTAAAAAAGTATATACAAAGTTTTAAAAAGTAAAATAAAAAAGATTAAAAAATTAGAATAGATAATAATATACAAATTAAATTTAAATGAAAAACGTTACCACTGAATAACATGACCTGAAAAATACCACTGTTTTTTAATGTGTGGATAGTTTAACATCACACATAAAATATGCTTCATATGGCTTTTAAAAAAAATCTTTATTTTGTTAATTACCGTTAGGGATAAACAGCGGCAATAACGGCCTTTATAATTTTTGTTCTTAGTTTGTGAGACAGTACAGTATCTCGTTTGTGTTACGATTGACTGTCTTTAAATTTTTACTTGTTTTTTTCTTTATTATAATTATTTTCTAGAAGGTCATGTTATTCAGTGGTCACGTATAATTTCTGAAACGAAATTTCATCCTGAATTGCCCCAAGCCAGAAAAAATAGTTTTAAATTATATAATATTTGGGATTTGAAAAATTTCATCACTTGGGACAATTCAGGAATTTCATGCATAATTTTTAAGTTTAAAAAATGTAATTATTTCATTTGGCTGTTATTAAACTTTTCATATTAATTATATAAATTTAAAAATTTAAATAAAATATAAAAATAATTAAAGGTGGTGAATTTAACAATCTTTCCGAATCAACTTCTCACACAGCACTTAATTTCATGTATCGACAGCGCAGCTGTCAGTTGATTTGGAAAGATTGTTAAATTCACCACCTTTAATTATATATACCACCGAATGATAAATTCATCTTAAATTTAAAATATAAAAATAGTTTAAAAATAGTAAAGTAGAAAGGTTTAAAAAATTAGAGTAAATAATAATATACATTTCAAATAAAGTTAAATGAAACACGTTACCACTGAATAACATGACCTGAAAAATAAAATTTTTCAATAATTAACCTGGTTAGTCTAATTTCATACACGAAAAAAACTCCATGTTTTCTTTAAAAAATCTGTATTTTGTTAACTAAACGTTTGTATACATTTGATACGACAAATTTCAAATTTTATTATTTCACCAGGGTTGCCACAGGTCAGGGAAGTCAGCGAAATCAGCGAAAAGTCAGGGATTTTTACTTAAAGTACTGGAAAAAATTGAATTTTTAAAATTCATGAGAAAACTGTGAATTCTTTCCTTTTTGCCTCGTAAATTATTGATGTTTTTAAATAATTTTACAATTAAAAAAGTTTGTAAATAAATGTAATAGAACATTTTTTTGAGTATCTAATAATTTTTAGAGTGAATCAGAATATTCTTTAGGGTCAGGGAAAAAGTGAAATTTTTTTCTGGAAATCAGGGAAAAGTCAAGGAAAAATAAAATTAAATATTTGTGGCAACCCTGTTCACGTACTTAATACGTGTAACAATAGAAATAGAAATTTCCCTAAATTATCTTTATAAAAAATAGAAATTACCTATGACTTTAACGTTTAGGTAATATTTTTCTTTTAATTGCACTCTTCCCCAAAAAGTATATTTCAAATTTTTAGTGCTCAAAACGACACTATATATGTTTATATCTAAACGTCAAAAACCCATTAGTAATTTTCGATTCAAAATTTATTATCTACTTTACAATTATTTTTATTCATATTAATTTTTAAAGAAAGTGATCCATTTAAAATTGATTTAAATAAAAGTTATTTTTAAGAATTTTTTGAAAATTTAGTGGTCTCGTGCTCCATAAACTTTACCTTGAACTTTACTATGGAAAAATGCTTTAAATTAAATTTAGGAGGATATTTTTTAAGCAACTTTGAAAATTATCGATTTCTTAACGAAATTTATAACAAAAAATCTCAAAATTGAAAGCTCAATTTTTATTGAAAAATAATTACATATCTGCATTCTACAATTTCACCATTTTGAAAAAATTTTTTTTTTATATTACGCTTTTACAATTATAATTATTAATTACGGAAAAGGTACCAAAAATTTTATTAATACAAATTATTTTTTATAAAGTTAATAATTTTTTTATTATTGAAAACATCAAATAATTAGAATTGTATAAAATCAATTTTATTAAAATTCAATTTACTTTAACTATAAGCCGATTTAAAGTAGTCCAAATTCTCAAAAAAAGAAAAAAAGTAGCCTGTAGTGTCACAAATCTAAAAAGAAATATCCAAATAGCAGGCAACTGTCAAAATAATAAGATTCCTAACCTCCAAGACATAACATATGTGTAAAACTTATGGTTGATATTCTACATTATCAACCACGTATCACGTTTACTTTTTTAGTTCGTAAAATACTCACCGTCAAAATGTGGCGCTGATCTAATTCTAAATTCATAATAATTACATTAGTAATAGAAAACTTTTTTTTACCCAAATATAAAATAAATACGAAACATAAATAGAAAATAATGCAGGGTGTCTAGTAATTTAGAAATATAAAATTCCCGGGGTTTTCCCGGTTTTTTCCCGGTATGTAAATAATTTTCCCGGATAATTGAAAACTAAAATTTTACAGTAAATTTAATCGTAATATTTGTAAAACTTATAATAAGAATTGTATTGTGATTTACTTGACGGTAATTTCATGTTTAAAATCAAAAACAGGTGTCGCATCACTGTAAAAATTTGGCACAAGCTTCCCAGTGGGCAAAAAACCATCATTGTTTTAAAAACGTTCCAAAAATGTTTTTAGAACGTTTCATGTCTGCCAAATAACGTCCCAATAACGTTATATGTTTCTAAAACGTTTTAAAAGCAATGGAACGTTTTTGGAACATTATTTGGCAGACATGAAACGTTCTAAAAACATTTTTGGAACGTTTTTAAAACAATGATGGTTTTTTGCCCACTGGATTGTCACATCGAAAATCATTTCCCATATAAGTTAGGTCTTAATTGGACAATAATAAAACATTGTCTAATATACGAAGAGAATCAATATACAATTCGAAATTGAAAAAAAATTAAGTTAAGCGTTGAAAAAATGTAACTATTTTTTCCAACAACATAATAAAGTACTTCATAAAAAAATTCCCGGATTTAAAAGAAAATTCCCGGGGGTTTCCCGGTTTTTCCCGGGAAAAAAAAATTCCCGGGGTTTTCCCGGTTTTTCCCGGATTCCCGGTTCGCTAGACACCCTGTAATGCCCTCTTTCATATAAAATAAAATATTATTATAAAATTCCTTTCCTTTTAGGAGATGTAGTGCATATTTCAAATCATCTTGAATTACCGACCGATAATTTACGCCTTGTGCTCAAATCAATGTGAATCGATTACCAACAGAATCTTCAACGAGTATTCAATCAATAATTATTAATAACAATTTTTTTTACCCAAATATAAAATAAATACGAAACATAAATGGAAAATAATGCCCTCTTTCATATAAAATAAAATATTATTATAAAATTCTTTTGCTTTTAGGAGATGTATTGCATATTTCAAATCATCTTGAATTACCGACCGATAATTCACGCCTTATGCTCAAATCAATGTGAATCGATTACCAACAGAATCTTCAACGAGTATTCAATCAATAATTATTAATAACAATTTTTTCTAACCAAATATAAAATAAATACGAAACATAAATAAAAAATGATGCTTTTTTTCATGTAATAAAATATTTTTACAAAATTCCATTCCTGTTAGGAGCTGTATTGCATTAAAAATTAGTAAAATTTTCATCAATAGTCGTGTCAATAATTATTAATAAAAAAAATTTTTTAACCAAATGTAAAATAAATACGAAACATAGAAAGAAAATGATGCCCTTTTTCATGTAATAAAATATTTTTACAAAATTCCATTCCTGTTAGAAGCTGTGTTGCATAAAAAATTAGTAAAATTTTTATCAATAGTCACGTGACCTCCAAATAACATGCCCTTAAATAGCTTTGAATAATTGAAAACTTGTAACATTTTTTTAAACATGCCTCCTGATCAATTTTTATAATGGTCTAACATTTTCAATTAGTGATTAGTTGGATTTGATCTTGAATTTTAAAATTAACAAAAAAATTACATCAAAATGGAGATAAGAAGTAAAGTCAATTTTTACATAATCGTACTGTTTTTATTATCAATTGATATAATCATTTTAAATAAAAAGTTAAAAAGTGAATTCGTAAAATACAATAATTCGATAATATTGGAAAATCAGAAATACGCGAACGTCTTTATGAAAAAGAATAACTTTGGTACTTAACCAGATCTCGGCGATCATTTCGGAGGAGATTAAGCAAAATTATGCAATTTTAAATTTTTTATTAAACTTGAAGTATTTTGATCTGTTTAAGACCTCTTTAAATGAAGAATTTGTAAAGTTTTAAAGATTTGAAATTTTAAAATAAAATTGCACAAAAATGTTAATTTGACAAGCAAAAAGGAAAATTGTTTTTTGAGGAGATAAGGCTCTAGATTGCGAATTTTGAACACATGTTTACTTATTAAACAAATTTGTAAAATTCAAGGTTTCAGAAAAAAAATGATTGAAAGTTAGAATTGTCAAAATACTACTTTTCAGGAAATCGAGTTTAAAGTTCGAGTCTGCCATTAACTCTTATGCTAATATTAATTATAAATGATTA